TCTGAAGCTGACCTTTACACTTTCTTGAGCTCAGAGCCTGTCATTGATTTCCCCGTGGTCAGCATTTAGGATGGAAAGGTCTGGACTCGGCCTCCCGCCTTTGTAGCCAGTACAGACCTTGCGGGACCAGGGCCGGCCTTGGGTTTGAGTCATCCCTTCTCTGCCCTCTCGGCTGGCGGGAGGTCCCCGGGCAGCCGGAGGCAGAACGGGCCCTGTCAGCAGTCCACGCTGCCTCCTCAGCACTCGGGTCAGGAGCTGGGGAGGGGAAGTGCGGCAGCACCCCGTGTCCTCGGGGCAGGGGGGCGGGGGGAGGCAGCCAGGGGAGCAGACTTTCACAAACAGAGCTCCCTGCAGCCCTCGGCTGGGTCCTGGGGCGAAGGGGACTCCCACCTGCCTGCCCGGCCCTGGGCCTCCTCCGGGGAGCACGTGAGCAGGTGCTGCACGTTCCCTCGCCCCCTCGGGCCAAAGACAGGGTCCCTGTGTTTCCTGAAGGTCAGGCTGCAGGGCGGCCAATCAGGAATGGCCGGCTGTGGCCAGCCAGTGTGCCTGGGGGCGGCGGGGGCGGTTGGGAAGCGGGCCACCCAGCCTCCGCCTGGTGGTGGAACAGCGTGTACTTCTGGCGTCCCCGGCACAGCTCAGTACGCGAGAGTGTCCTCAGGAAGCAGGAGGTCAGCAGCACCCCTGCGCGGGAGCTGGCCCGGGGACCAGGGAGGTTCGCAGCTGGACTGTGCTCCCTGCGGGGAGGGAGGACCAGGGAGAGGGCCGGCGGGCCCACCCTTCTGAGCTCAGTCAGGTTCCCCGGGGCGCTCCTCCTCCCGCTCCGTGTCGAGTTCCTCTTCGGAGAGGCGTCCCTTCCCCGGCTCTGCCGAGTGTGGGCCCGGGAAGCGTGTGCACTCCACAGCCCCCTGGACACACGCGTGAAGATACAGACTCGGCCTGTCCTGCCCAGGCCTGCTTTGGTGGCCGTGTCGGGGGCTTCTCTGTGCCCGTCTCAGGAGAAGGCTTCTGAGTGCCAGAGCCCGGACACCCCAGTGGAGATACGCGGGGGCGGCCTCTTGAGCCCCTCCTTGCCTGGTAACACCACCTTCCCCCTTACAGCGGCCTTCCTCACACAGACCGTCTGCTTGGACGACACGACAGTCAAGTTTGAGATCTGGGACACGGCTGGCCAGGAGCGGTATCACAGCCTGGCCCCCATGTACTACCGGGGGGCACAGGCCGCCATCGTGGTCTATGACATCACCAACACAGTAAAGACTTTCCCTTGCTTCTCGACCCTGGTCCCTGGATGGGGTGTGGGCAGGTCTCCTCTGCCGTGTGGGGGTGTCTCCTCAGAATGCCTGGCTGGTGGCGCCTTAGACAGCTCAGCCCTGCCGGCTGGAGCTTCTCTAGTGAGTGGCCTTGGGCAGGACGCCTCCTCTGTCCCTTTGTGACATTCCGGCCCTGTCTCCCCAGGACACGTTTGCACGGGCCAAGAACTGGGTGAAGGAGTTACAGAGGCAGGCCAGCCCCAACATCGTCATCGCGCTTGCGGGCAACAAGGCAGACCTGGCCGTCAAGAGAGCCGTGGAGTTCCAGGTGTGGGGGACAGACAGGCCGGGGGAAGGAGGGGGCCAGCCGCCTGGGCCTTCCTCAGGCTGCGTGGGGACTGCGGGAGGGGCCGCCCGGGGAGGCAGTGGGCGCGCTGGGATCTTCTGTCCTCTCCTGACCTGAGCCCGGGCCGGAAGGACTCGCCTCCCCTTGTCTCGTGGCAGTAGCGGATGTGTGCACACAGGCGGCCGAAGTTTCTGCTTATTGTTCCTGTAAACTTTTTAGTGAGACCTACTGAAAAAGAAATACTCCTTTTCATGTAATACATGCACACAGTAAAATCTAAATAGTACGAGAAGGTCTGTAGAATTGAGTCTCTTAACCCTAGAAAGTCAGTCTCTCTCTACCCCCAAGTTCCTTAGCTTCTCATCTTTCCAGAAATGTGTGCATGCCTATGGGTCCCTTTGTTTTTTTTTAAGATTTATTTATTTATTTTTAGAGAGGGAAGGGAGGGAGGGAGGGGAGAGAGAGAGAGAGAGAGAGAGAGAGAGAGAAACATCAATGTGCGGTTGCTGGGGACCTGGCCTGCAACCCAGGCATGTGCCCTGGCTGGGAATCGAACCTGCAATTCTTTGGTTTGCAGCCCGCACTCAATCCACTGAGCTATGCCAGCCAGGGTTACATAAGTCCCTTTCTTTAATAGGAGGGAGTGTGTTCAACATACTGTATATTTAATTTTTTTTTTTTTGCCGGGACTTTTTTTGCCAGTCCCTAGCTGAGGGACTTCGAGGTGGTTTGTGATAGCAGAGACTGGAAACAGCGTCGCAGCCAGAGGTGCACCCTTCCGTGCTCTCGTTCAGCACACGGCTGCATTCGTGGGCTGGTTTTCTAGCAGTAATTCCCAGCCTAGTGGTTTTGAAGAGCACGAAGGACGTAGGGGCACCTGCCTAAAACCTCTGCCGATCGAGGTCCGTGAGCTGAGAGGGGCCGTACCTGAAGTGGGGGGCGGGGCGCGTGGTGCAGGTGTCTCAGAGGAACCCCTAGGGGAGAGCTGTCGGCCCGGAAACCCCGGAACTGTGTCTGCCGTGAATGAGGCACTGTCATGCGGGGAGATTTTTTTATCCTGGGCCCCAGCCCCCGCCAGCTGCCAACATGTCCCTCCCACCCACTCTCTCGCCCCCGTCCGAATCAGGAAGCACAAGCCTACGCAGACGACAACAGCTTGCTGTTCATGGAGACGTCGGCCAAGACCGCGATGAACGTGAATGAAATTTTCATGGCGATAGGTGAGCCGTCCCCCCGCCCCCAGCGGGCACAGCTCTTGCCTGCCGCTCTGTAATACGCCTGTGGGGTCCCTTCGCCAACAGGTCTTTCACCCTCTTCCATATTCGGACAGATTCGCCGCCTCCTTTATCTGGCTCCCAGCTGTAGACAGTTTGCCCCGGAAGTTCTAAAGCCTGGGTCAAAGTCTCAACGTTCCACTTCCTGACTTCTTAGCTTGCCATCCACCTAAAACCCGACATCACCATCCTACCCATTTCTTAGGACTTTTTTTAGCCCATTTGGTTCTGAAGTCATCCTGCCTTATTAACTCTGATCTTGAGTAGGTCATTTAACCTCTCCTTGCCTCAGTGTCCTGAAATGCTGAGTGCACTGGCACATAGAAGTGACGCTCTCGGTATGACTGATTGGGTGGTAGAGGCCGGATTCTACTCACATGGACTTGGGAGACAGTACTGGAGTATCCCCACAAATACCTCTTTCCCTCCTCTCCCAAACAGCTAAGAAGCTCCCCAAGAATGAGCCCCAGAACGCAGCTGGTGCTCCGGGCCGGAACCGAGGCGTGGACCTCCAGGAGAACAACCCAGCCAGCAGGAGCCAGTGCTGCAGCAACTGAGCCCCCCTCGCCTGCCCACTGCCCCCACCTCCTCCGCCTGAACAACCCGACTGGAATCCACTCTAACCAATCGCACTTAACTACTTGGGCCACCACTGGGGGGAGGGGGGGCAGGGGGAGGGGTCCACCATGATTTCTCCATCTAATTTTGTTCATAGGCCGGAGTGAGTTATTCCACCTGCACCTTTCTGTACAAATACTAATGCAATTTTAAGTCTTAAGTCACTTTTTTAATATATATGATCATCTCTTCCCACTCCCTGCCCTTTCTACTGCTCTCCCACGCTCCCTTTGCTGGCCGTAGCCACGCGCCCCTGTTGTCCCCGCGCTTGTATCCGGGGAAGCAGGGGTTGGAGCAGTTACCCTCTTTTCCTCCTGCTGGCGAGCAGACTCAGCAAGAGCATCCATATCCTTACCGTGTTTGAAGCGTGCTTGGTTCCGGGCCACGGGGCAGGCCCTAGGGACTGGGGAAGGGAGAGACAGCTCTTCCCTTAGCTGGCTGGCTGGCTGGCACCAGGCCGCAGTCCCCCCTCACCCCTAACGCTCAGCCGGGAGAGCGACCACAGCATTATTGTGACAGCCACGAACCCACTGCCCACAGCCCACCCCACGCCCCTCATCCTTGGTCACCCTGACCTCTGGCTCTGAGCCCTGTTCTGACCAAATCACGATGATGAGTATTTGGGGGTGGGTGGGTGGGGGGGGTGAGTGGGAGGGAATGGAACCAACTTTTTCTGTATTTTGTATTGTATGTTTTCTTCAACATGTAACCAATCAGTATCTTGTCAATATAGTCAGCCAATGGATCCACCTCCTGCTTGCCTGTCTGGTCTTTCTCTGGCAGACTGTAGCCTCTCTAGCTTACTTAAGGTTAATTTCAAGTGGACCACTGATTCTTGTGAGACAAGCTGCCCGCTCCCCGGGGAGGGGGTGCTGGTGGCCATGGTAACGAGAGAGGGGGGCCCTTATCTGCAGGGCTGATGGCACAGGGGTTGGGTGTGACCTGGAACCGACTCTCACCAAGCTTGAAGTTGGGGGTCCTGCTCCCCCACCACCTCTAGGTCATATTGGGGTGATGTGCAGTCTGGATTTGAAAATAGTTGGGCTCAAAATCAAAACAACACGAAAAAAAGGTTGGTCTCTGAAACACCAGAAACACGGTCTTTGGCGGTGTTGGTTAATTCGTATCAGGATGGTGAGGGGCTGGATCCTCTCACCCTCTTCCCTGAAGAGGAAGAAGCACCAATGAGCAGCCTCACACCAGGTTTAAGCCATCCAATCCCTGGTCTCCAGTGGGCACTCAGCTGGTCTGGAACCAGGTAATTCTGGGACCCTTCCGGCTCTCTGCTGCTCCCTGCTGGCGCCGCTGCTGTCAGCCACCAGGGCCGGGGCTGTGGGTCCCAGCGGAGCTGAGTTTGGTAGCGCCACCACTGCTCTCCCCTCACCCCCAGCCCCCAGGTTCTCCCAGGACCAGAGAGGCCTGATTTTTAGTTGACCACCACCTTGACTTGCCTTTCCAGCTATGACCCCTATTCTGAGAAAAGACCACAGACACGAAGGCTTTTCTGCTCACTATGGTGGTTTATTGGGTCAGGCTGGTTTGGGACCCTTCTTAGAGCCGCGACTCCTGAGTCTGGGGGACTGTCCTGTTGGGGCTTCAGAGGGAGGCAGCGGCCGGCACTGACCCCGGACACACAGATAGCCTGAGGGGGTCAGGCAGCAGGTCATGGCGGCGGGATCCAGGTCTGGCGGGAGCGGCATCTGGCGGTGTACCATATGCGCCAAGCGGTAGGAACCTCCATCCGAGCTGTAGTTCTCTGTTTGCCGCTGGCCGGTCACCTTCAGGCATTGGCCGTCCACTTGCACCACCAACTCCTCGGGGCTGAAGCCGTGGGCGTTCACCTTCATCTGGAAACCATTCTCGGCGTGGACATCGTCCCGTATAGCTGCCACATCATCCCTGAGCAGCCGCACCGGCAGTGTGGCCGCCTGGTTCTGTTCTGCGAGGGCTGCGCTGGGACTCCGGGACGCCGCCTGGCTCCCGTTAGGGAGACCGCTACCGACCCGCTGCATCCAAGTGAGCAACTGCCGTCTGAGGGCACGAGGCTTTTAGTACAGCGCTCAGCGCTCGCGCGCGGGGGCGGGGCATGAGAAAGGAGGTTCCTCCTGCGCCCCGCCCACCCCCGCCAGCTCCTGCTCAGCAGCTCCGCTGTGTGCAGCGAGGTTCCCTTTGCTTTGGCAGAGTCAGAGTTTGCGGTCAGCTATGCACGTCCTACCTCCATGGGTCAGGCTGTCATTTGCCCTGGCACGTCCGTGGCTGCTTTTATCCTGGGTCCTGCCCCTCTCTTGGGCCCCTCCCCAACTCCACCAGAGAGCCCACTGGATATGCTAAAGGCGAGAGGTCACCGGCACAGAGTGAAAATGACACTGGGCCATCCGGGCTCTTCCCCTTCCAAGAATCGGGCCTGGGGACAACAAGGATTGCCCCCTGGACAGAGACGTTGGAGTCTGAACACAGGATAACCCATATTCAGAACGTCCTGCCTTTTCTCTGGGAGGGCACAAGTTCGTGACACATTGGGAACCGGAAGGTGGACACATCTTCCTAGCTTCACTCATCCTTCCCCGGCCTACTGGGCTTCAGGCGCGGGCTGAGCTCAGGGACCACAAAGATTACGACGCCGGCCCAGCCCTCAAGGTGCCCGCGGTGCTGAGGGAAGACTCGTTCACATACACAGGCAAAGGCTTCCTTCCACCCTCCTCTGCCTCTGCTTCATCCCCCCTTTGGCAGCCTTGTTCATGACCACAGCCAAGCGTCTGGTGCTCAGTACTTTTACAATAAACTCTTTTTGTGGAAGTATAAGCGGACATACAGGAAAGTGCACGAAAAGGGTAGAGGTGAATTATCCCAAAGAGAACACACCTGTGCAACTACTTCACAGGTCAAGAACTAGAACCGTTGCCACTTTAGTCTCTGTAGCTGTAATTTTGTCTCCGGAGACACGCGGGACAGGGTGAGGGTGGGAGATGTGCCAGGAAGCCAACTCTGCCCGAGGCCTGCACTTCCACGCTCGAGGTTTGGCAGGATGGCACAGCCCACAAGTCCCACAAGCAGACGCCCGTCTTCTACGATGCTTGTCCTTATCCCGAAGAGGACAGCAATCTCGACTATCCTGGAAGCCTTCAAGAGAGATTAAAAGTGAGGAGGAATCAGTCCGAGGCGTTGGCTCAGGCCTCACTCACCTGTCTGGGACCAAGAGACAGGATAGAAAAGTCTGGAAGGCGTAGGCAAAGGGAGCAGCGTTGGAAAACTACAACTCCCATCATGCTCCAGGGCAGTGACGCCTGCGCAATGAGCGCCCGTTGCCCTTGCGGCCCTAGGGCAGGGAGCGCCGCGCCGCGCTCCGCTGCGGGGGAGGCCATGGCGGAGCCTTCCCAGGCCTCGACCCCAGCCCCGGCCGCGCAACTCCGTCCCCTTCAGTCCCCAACCCCTGCCCCAACTCCGACTCCTACCCCTAGCCCGGCCTCGGCGCCGACCCCGGCTCCCACTCCGGCACCAGCCCCCGCCCCAGCTGCAGCCCCAGCCGGGAGCACCGGGACGGGGGGACCCGGGGTAGGAAGTGGGGGAACCGGGAGCGGGGGGGATCCGGCTCGACCTGGCCTGAGCCAGCAGCAGCGCGCCAGCCAGAGGAAGGCGCAAGTCCGGGGACTGCCGCGCGCCAAGAAGCTTGAGAAGCTAGGGGTCTTCTCGGCTTGCAAGGTGGGGGCGGGGCCTGGGGTGAGAGGGGGCGGGGCTTGGGACATCCTAGGGCTCGGGTGGAAATGGGAGCAAAGCACCGGCTGGGGAGCGTCGCTCCCCGTCCCTGGGGCACGGACAGGGTTTTTGACTGATCCTTCTGCCTCCAGGCTAATGAAACCTGCAAGTGCAATGGCTGGAAAAACCCCAAGCCCCCCACTGCACCTCGCATGGACCTGCAGCAGCCAGCTGCCAACCTCAGTGAGCTGTGCCGCAGCTGTGAGCACCCCTTGGGTAAGGCAGGTAGTGCCCTTGGAGCTGGGGGCAGGGAAGAAGCAGGTGCTGGCTTCTACTTGGACCGGATGACTTAAGGGCCCCAGAGCTTCTTAAAAACCAAAGATGCCTTCTCTCTTTGGAGGGTATCCCAATCCCTCCTTAGAAGGCTGCCTACAGGGTGTGCCCCAAGGGAGGAGAAAGGAAGTCTGTCAACAGAGAAGGTACAAGGGGCCACCCAAGGGCTGACAAAGGAGCAGTCAGCCTTGTTGCTGTTCACAGTGGCTGAAGGGACTGAGGGTGTATCATGGCTGGCGATGAAGAGCAGCAGGAAGTTCTGTTGACCTCTTCTGTGCATTCTTCCCAACTCTACCACCTGGTCTTCTTGCAGCTGACCATGTGTCCCACCTGGAGAATGTATCAGAGGATGAAATCAACCGGCTGCTGGGGATGGTGGTGGATGTGGAGAATCTGTTCATGTCTGTTCACAAGGAAGAGGACACGGACACTAAGCAGGTCTATTTCTACCTCTTCAAGGTGAGCTTCTTGCGAGTGAAAGTGAGCGGACAAAGGAGTTGAGACTGGTGGTGGCAGCTCCGTTCTGTGCTGACTTCTACCCCTCCTTCTCCCTCCAGCTCCTTCGGAAATGCATCCTGCAGATGACCCGGCCCGTGGTAGAGGGGTCTCTGGGCAGCCCTCCATTTGAGAAGCCTAATATTGAGCAGGTGAACTGGGACTATCTTGGAGGAACAAAGAGCTCATGTTCTCCATCCTCCTCAGGCTGGAACAGGGGAGAGGTTCCCGAAGGGAGGGCATTTTGTGCTAACCTCCAGGTGTGCGCAGAGGTGGGGAGTGGGCCTAGTTTCTCTTTGCAGAGAGCCTCAGAATGAGAGGAGAGCCTCGCCCCTGCCTTCAGGAAGCCCCTAGTTTTGGATAAGAAGCCCACGCTGGCTGCCCACACTTCCTTCCTGGTTTTGCCCGCCCCCCCCCCCCCCCGCCCCAGGGTGTGCTCAACTTCGTGCAATACAAGTTCAGTCATCTGGCTCCCCGGGAGCGGCAGACCATGTTCGAGCTCTCAAAGATGTTCTTGCTCTGCCTTAACTACTGGAAGCTGGAGACGCCTGCCCAGTTTCGGCAGAGGTCTCAGGCTGAGGACGTGGCTACCTACAAGGTCAATTACACCAGGTAGGCCCAGCCAGGGGCAGCGTGGGGAGAAGCTCGTGGGCACAGTGGTTCCCACTCTCAGCCCCTCCTCACTCGCCTCAGGTGGCTCTGTTACTGCCACGTGCCCCAGAGCTGCGACAGCCTCCCCCGCTACGAGACCACTCACGTCTTCGGGCGAAGCCTCCTGCGCTCGATCTTCACTGTCACCCGGCGGCAGCTGCTGGAGAAGTTCCGGGTGGAGAAGGACAAGCTGGTGCCCGAAAAGAGGACTCTCATCCTCACCCACTTCCCCAAGTAAGGCTCCTTCTGGCCTGTGGGGATTTTGCCCCAAGTGCACATCATCCCTGTTATCTCCCTTTTTCCAGGAAGGCTTCCTGGATTGGCCCTGCCCCGCCCTCCATGAGCCTTCTGGGATCTGGGCGTCCACCTGGCAAACTTGCCCGTAGCCCAGGTGCAACTCGCTGACGTGTGCCTTTCGCAGTAGTCAGAGGAAGGCAGGTGCACGGCCCCAGCGCCAGCACTGCCGCTTCCCACAGCCCGGGTGGACATGACCCACCTGTTCCCACGGGGCCTGGACACAGCCTCGGGACCCTTCGGACCACAGCATTCCGAGAGAAACCAGAGCTTACACTTGAGACGAAACCAGTCTCTGCTCTTCTTGTAGTTCTTTCTGAAAGATTTTCCTCTCGTCTCCCTCACTCTGCTCTCAGTTTAAACCTGCTCACTGCTGTCCATGTCGGGAAGCCTTTGCTGACTAATAATCCAGGCCCTCCAGTGTCCCTGCTGCCACCATCCGGGAATCAGGCGGCAGGAGGGGGTTGAAATCTGAGCCCCACTTTGGTACTGTGGCCCAGGGTGACTTGATGTCCTACCTGGCCACACAGTACAGCGCGGCATCAGTTCAAACCATGCCTCCCCGTTCTGTACACTACGGTAAACCGGGCCTCTGGTCTCCGCCTGGCTGTGCCCGGTCCTCCTACCTTCAGCTAGGGTCTCCCAGGAAGCGGGGAGCTATACCACCCCCCAGTCTGGAGGCACAGGTTGGCTCTGTTCTAGGCTCCCGGTTCCCCGAGGGGAGGAGGCTGCGTCTCTCTGACCTTCCCCAGCCCCCTGGTGTCTGGCCCAGGCTGCTCCCTCGGTTGGGCAGAGCTGCGGACGGACTGCACCCTCCCACAGGTTCCTGTCCATGCTGGAGGAGGAGATCTACGGGGCGAACTCTCCAATCTGGGAGTCGGGCTTCACCATGCCACCCGCAGAGGGGGCCCAGCTGGTGCCCCGGCCAGGTATGTGCCACAGCAGGTTCTGCAGGATCTCTGCCCGGCCTTCCTGGCTGAGCTCCGGCCCCCCGCCCTGTGGAGAGGGGCTGCGAGTGGCTGCAGTGGAGAAATGCTGGGGGGCTCAGCTGGGACTTGGAGGGTCCTGGCCCCTTTTTGGGACCCATTAACACCTTTGACCCCCGCCACCCCCACCCCAATCCGTCTGTCTCTTGCAGCTACAGTCAGTGCAGCCGTTGTCCCCAGCGCCCCCATCTTCAGCCCCGCCATGGGCGGGGCCAGCAACAACACCTTGAGTCTGGATTCTGGAGGTGCTGAGCCCATGCCAGGTGGGTACTTGACCCTTGACCCTGACTGTCACTCACCCCTCCCCCAGCCTCTCTGGCTGCCCCTGGAAGACCTTGCCCGTCTCCCCAGCAGGCGAGAAGAGGAAGCTCCCAGAGAACCTGACCCTGGAGGATGCCAAGCGGCTTCGCGTGATGGGCGACATCCCCATGGAGCTGGTCAACGAGGTCATGCTCACCATCACGGACCCTGCTGCCATGCTGGGGCCCGAGGTAGGCCGCCCGGCCTGCTGGCCTGCAGGGGTCGGGCGCCCTCGTGGGCCCGCGGCCCCGGCTCACCGCCCCTCCTCTGGTGCACAGACCAGCCTCCTGTCGGCCAACGCGGCCCGGGACGAGACGGCCCGCCTGGAGGAGCGCCGCGGCATCATCGAGTTCCACGTCATCGGCAACTCACTGACCCCCAAGGCCAACCGGCGGGTGTTGCTCTGGCTCGTGGGGCTGCAGAATGTCTTCTCCCATCAGCTGCCGCGCATGCCCAAGGAGTACATCGCCCGCCTCGTCTTTGACCCGTGCGTCCCCAGGAGACCCCCAGCCCCAGGGTGCCTGTCCTCCTCAGCCTCCACACCCCTCCCTAGGTTCCGTCCTTCAACCTCTGGGAGTTCTTTCTCCTCTGTTCCCAGCCCTGAATACAGCTGAGGCCCCCAGGGCTGTGGGGACCTGGAGAGCCCTTGGGGGACAGGTAGGGATGGTGACCTGTCCCCTCTCCCCTCAGGAAGCACAAGACTCTGGCCTTGATCAAGGACGGGCGGGTCATTGGTGGGATCTGCTTCCGCATGTTCCCCACCCAGGGCTTCACAGAGATTGTCTTCTGTGCTGTCACCTCAAACGAGCAGGTCAAGGTGAGCGCATGCCCCAGCCCCTGCCCCACCCCACCTCCTGCTGCCGAGTTTGGTCGGGGTCAGAGCAGAGGCTGTGGTGGTGCCACAGTCCCCAGCCCTTCTTTCAGTGGCCAGGCAGTTCCACACTCCCCCACAAGGTGGCGCTGGTGTTCTGAGCAGTGGTTTAAGAAATTACCTGTTGACAAATGGACTCGGAGAACCAGTAACAAGTTTAAATGAAACTGAATTTCTTTCATCACAAGAAGCTTTACATACACTGGAGCATCAGTAATTTTTACGGTAGCCCCGCACTGGGTGATGGTCGTGGTTTCTGTCCTTGCATTGTCACAACAGACCCACTGGGGGGCCCCTGATTCTCCAAGGCGCCTCCGTGGTCCCTACGCGGGGGCGTGCCTCTTCAGGGCTCGAGCGCCGCCGCAGGCAGGCGGGGCCCTTGGTATTCCCCTTCTCAGTTCCGAGGCCCAGGAACCAGTGGCCTGAGACGGCTGCTTCCTGGCTGGGTTTGGACCCCAGCCCCGCCGTGGCTGGCCGCCTGACCTGGGACACACTCCCTGGCGTAGCCGAGTTTCGGTTTTACCTCCTGTAAGTTGGCAGCAGCACCTGCCTCATGACTTGGCCTAAGACTCGGCCTGTAAGGTGCCGAGCACCGCGCCTGACTCAGAGCAAGTGCTGAGGAATCCAGGGTCCTTCGGTTTCCTCCTTGTGAAACCCGCTCCTCCTCTGGCCGCCTCCCCTTCTGCCTGCCCGGCTCCCCCTGCTCCCCCTGCTCCCCTCCAATGAGCTGCCTCCTCCCGGGCTCCGGAGCCCCACCCAGCACCCAGCCTGCCCCTCCCCCGCAGGGCTACGGGACCCACCTGATGAACCACTTGAAGGAGTATCACATCAAACACAACATCCTCTACTTCCTCACCTACGCGGACGAGTACGCCATTGGCTACTTCAAAAAGCAGGTGACTCTCGCCTCGCCCCACCCCACCCTGCACTTGCCTGCTGCCTGAGGAGGGGTCAGTCTGTCTAGCAC